ATTTCAACATTGTTTGAAAGTGAAAAAATGTTAAGAGGAAAAATTCATTTACATCATTAAGATAGCCTATTGCTCTTTCAGTACATTTTCATTAATGTTACCGTACCAAAAACTTTAAAAATATGTAATATAAATATTACCGTTGATTAAATTGATATTTACTTTAAATGGTATTACAATTTCAATCCACTATTATTCTTATCTCACAATTATTTAGCACTTTTATATATAAAATAAAATAGTAAATATAATAAACATGCAATGTAAACAAAGTAAACATGTATTGTAAACATGGTAAACATGTAATGTAAACAAAGTAAACATAAATTTTGAATATATGATTGTTTTAAAATGAAAATTTTTCCTAAAATAAAAGAGATTTTCAGATTAATTTTGATCTATCAAAAAAATTAAAAGAGTTCGAAATGAAATAGAACAGCATGATAATGATAATAGGAGGTAGTATATTGTTGGAGAAAATTCTTTGGTTTTCTTTTACATGACAAATCTTTAATTAAAGTTTTCTAAAGGAATCGATTAAAGTAAAAGAGAAAGTAGGAGTGGATTTGATGATGAAGCTGACTATTGCAGACGAAGCGTCTGTCATCAATATATGACAACTATCTGAGAGGGTAAAATGAGTTGCTGAGGGGGGTTTTTTCGATTCGTTGAATTTTTGATGGACAAACAGAGACACAAGGCCATTGGTATTGATGATGACAATAATTTGAAAATTCACAATCCTACTATATTACTCGCAATTACTAACAATTTTCAATAATTCAATTTCAATGATATCGTTTGACGCATACTTTACACATTTTGCTATATATTTAATTTAATTTAATTTTAAAATAAAAGCCATAAAATTAACATTTCCTTTAAGAGAATGTAATCTTTTATTCTTATTGAATGAAATTTAAAAATGAAAAATTTTTATGTTTAAATTAAATTAAACAAAATGTGTGGAATGATTTTTGTTTAAACAAAAACTGAAATACATTAAATAGTTAATTTTTAAACAATAAGGATGAGTAATATTTTAATCAAAAAATTAATTGAACAAACAAATAAAATAGAAATTAAAATTAAAATTGTCTTCAATTAAAATTGAAATTATTCAAAAATCTTCTAATTAAATTATAATTAATTAATATGTAATTATTACATTATCATTCATAATTATACAATAACAAATTATAAAAAAGACAACAACCAAAGTTGTATATGAGTAAACATAAGTAAAATTCACAATAAACTTTACTAAAATAAAATATTAATAAAATATTCAATAAATTACAGTTTCAAATAATTTTCTAATTTTATTTTTGTTTAATTATAAAAATATATATGAGCCAATAGAGCTATTTAGGTTAATAATTAAGGATTAATAACGAAAAGTTGGAAGTAAAGATTCATTAAGGATTATTAATTAAGGATTATTCTAATTGAGGATCAATAACGAATAGAAATGAAATCATTTATATTAATAAAATAAATAATTATAAAAATATATTTGAACTAGCAGGTATCCGATAGGTATCTGACTTCCTTTTAAAATTTCTGTTATATAATTTTTGAAAAAAAAGACCTTATACCGCATGTGCATTTAAACTTACTAATTTCAATAATACATATACTTAATTAGTAAAATTATTTTAAACGAATCAAACATTTCAGAGCATTATTTCAATTACTGAATTAGCAAAAAGCATATCTGGGTATCTTAATTGCAAGAAAAGTAAGGCAGATTATATTTATAAAAAAGGAAACTGAATTTCTTGTAATCGATTTTCCAATTTTGACTATATGTTGGAAATACTGAATACATTTAATGAATAAGAATTAAATTATGTTAAGTAATGAAATGACGATTTTCCAATTTTGATTATATGCTGGGAATTTAAATACTGAATACATTTAATGAATAAGAATTAAATTATGTTAAGTAATGAAATGACGATTTTCCAATTTTGATTATATGCTGGGAATTTAAATACTGAATACATTTAATGAATAAGAATTAAATTATGTTAAGTAATGAAATGACGATTTTCCAATTTTGATTATATGCTGGGAATTTAAATACTGAATACATTTAATGAATAGGAATTAAAATATGTTAGGCAATGAAATGAATAAATGATATTTGCGAACTTTCAATTTAATAAAAAACAATAATGAAAATGATGAAAAACTGTACACAAGAAAAAACTTGCTATTTTCAGAAGATGACTAAGAATCTCACAATTTTTTTAAGAACAATATTGACAGTTCATAATAGAATGATTCATTTATTGTAATGAATCATCAAGTGTACCAGAAGCTCACTAATAATTTTCAATTCAAATTTGTCAACAATATTAATATACAGTTTCTTTTTTTGTGTTATTTGCAGCAAAGGTAACATAGAAAATGTTAAATAAAGAAAGATTCATTTCATTGATGTAATACATGATTAATTAAAATTACTTCCTAATTAATACAATTAATTGTTTAATTGTTTTTCTGGATGAGCAAACTTTTAATAGCATTTGGTTAAATAACGATTCTTTTTGTGATGTCATTCTTTTATGTATCACAATCGGATGAAGTAGCTGATATAACTTCTTGTAAATTTCTCAAACTTACTTTTCGAAATTTATAAAATAAGGCAAAACATAAAACTAACCATATTAAATCAATAATGTTAGTTTGCATCCGAAAAATTAAGATCTAAATTAACGATGAATATGTTGAGGATGAAATGTGGGAAATTTGTTATTGCTTTCCTATACTCTCCTGAGGAATTGATATACCACTGAAAATCTTATTGTAATGCAAATTTCAATTGCTATGAGAATGGCTATAATGTGTGGAAATAATATTGAAATATGATTTTTGATTCATTCATTTTCAATCGATCACTTATTAAAATGTAATACTATTATCAATGATATTAAATTCCTTTGTCAAGAATTCACAAATGATGATGAGGAGGAAGAATGTTGACAGAGAAGACAGGATTATAGTGAAGGAAGCGGTAATTAATTATGTGATCAAAGAAAAATTTGTTAAAATTAATGGTAGGTAAGTAAGCATTTGACATTTTCAGTAAATTGAAACTTGCAAAACTTTTTTTCTGATAAATTATTATTTTGCTACTAGCTGATAGTACACGAAAATTTTGGCTGAATGTTATCGGTTGTAAAATGATACGTATGCACTTGATGATGTTTTTGTGTTGCGAATATTAAACAGAGAATTTCTTTGAGTGGATGGATAGTTGAAGGATGATCTGTTGATGCTTCTTTCTAGTAATATGCAAATAATAGGTTGAATGAATGACCCTTTATTTGAATTTACTGACAATTTGCAATGTTTATTTTCATTTTCATCATTTAATATTTGAATTTGAAAAAAGTATCAATTTGATATGAAAATAAAACAATGAAATTTTCTCAGTTTTCTTTTTTCAAATCAAAATTTAATAATTTACTGATTTTTCTTGTAATTTAAACTTTCATCTGAAAAGGATTGTCTGAAGGGAATTGTCTGAAGAGGCTTTGCTATTTAACTTTCACTTGTTTGTTTGTTATTAACGATTATTCATAAAATAAAACTAAGCTCTTATACTTATACTATAAAATAAATAAACTATTCGGAAGGTATTTAGATCAACTCAGATTTCAACTCGGAAGATATTTAGATCATTTCAGATGAGATATAATGCTGAATTGATGTGTAAAAATTGAAGTCAGAAAAGAAATCAACTTTATTAATGAAGCAAATCCTTTCATAAATTTTCCGGATGGTGTAAACTTAAAAGAAAAGTTTATGCAAATAATATTGAATTGGTGTTTAAAAATTGAAGGCAAGAAAGAAATTAACTTTGTTAATGAAGTAAATCCTTTCATGAATTTTCCGGATGGCGTAAACTGTAATGTTTGAAAAGTTAACAACTTTATTAATGAAGCAAATCCTTTCATAAATTTTCCGGATGGTGTAAACTTAAGAAGCATAAAAAGTTCATGTAAATAATGCTGAATTGATGTGTAAAAATTGAAGGCAAAAGAAATTAACTTTGTTAATGAAGCAAACCCTTTCATAAATTTTCCGGATGGCGTAAACTGTAATATTTGAAATGTTAACAACTTTATTAATGAAGCAAATCATTTCATAAATTATCCGGATAGTGTAAACTGTAATGTCTGAAAAATTAACTCTAAAATATATTCAATCCGTTAATAAAGCAAAACTGTCACCAATAATTTTTTAATTCGTTGTATAGAATTAGAATGCCTTCAGTAATAGGAAATTGTAATGTTTTATTAACACTTTAATTGTTTTAGGGTTTCATCTTTCTTTCTATTTTTTCAAATCGAATTTTTGTTACAGTTTGAGAATTAATTAAATTTCAGTAATTAAAAAATTTCTTTTCTCAATTCTTTTAATTCTATCAAAATGAAAAATACAAAAAAGATTGAATAACAAAATTAAATAACATTTTGATGAAAGAATTTTCAGTTTAAACGATCAATCTTTTAAATTTTTTAGCATAAAGTTTATGCAATTCATTTTTATCTAAAATATTTTGAGGCTGTCAATTAATTAAATAAAATTTTTGAATGTAAAGTTATGCTTTCTTTCAGCTTTTTATTTATACTAAAATAATTAAATTGAGATTGTTAGAAATAAAATTTCACTGTAATGTTCAAAATTTCAAGATTTTATTTTGCAGCATTTACTTGTTTTAATTGTCTTAACTTTGTTTGTATATATTGAAGAGTTATTTAGCGGATCGTGCTTATTCACCATATACCAATATCCTCTCCATTTACACAACAGTCAGCTTCTAAACTTCATTACGATCTTTATTCCTATAGTAGTGGTTAGCATTCCGCTAACGATTTTGTTCTATATTTTACCCTATTACTATGCTTATAATTTTATACCTTCATGGATCGTCGGATATGCGTATTTTAGAATTGCCTAACCTTCTACGCCTATCAACATGTCAAATGCCATTTATCTTCTTACTTATATATCTGTTACTAACTTCGATGAAAAATTTCGTATCAGCAAGCATCGATGAAAAGCAATTATATGAGGACTTACTAACCAATTACAATGTATTAGAACGGCCTGTAAGCAATTCGAGTACTCCATTAATCATCAAAATGCGACTTTTTCTACAACAAATTGTTGACGTTGATGAGAAAAACCAAGTGGTCCAAATTAATGCATGGATCCGATATGCAAGTTTTATATCCTTAATTTTTTTTGTTTCAAAGTTTTTATTTTTTTTGCAAAGTTTGTTCATAAGATTTGAAGTAAAATTAAAGAAATTAAACATTTGTTTTTTAATTTTTATACTAATATTTACAATATGATTAGCAGATTTGGGAGGATTATAAGTTAAAATGGGATCCTCGAGAATATGGTGGCATCAAGAATTTGCATTTTCCGGGTGATAATTCAAGAATATGGAGGCCTGATATATTATTATATAACAGGTTCTATTTTTTTCACGAAGAAGCGTAAAGTTTCAAATATATAAGTGTAATAACTGGTTGATACGATGGAATCATATCCGAATTTCAGGAAATACCACCAGAAAAGATTTTAATATTAAAATAACATTTAAAAAAAAGTGAATCAATCATTTTCATTTTATAGTGCTGACGATAATTTCGATTCAACTTTCAAAAGCAATTTATTAGTGTATAGCAATGGAGAAGTGAATTGGATACCACCCGGTATTCTGAAATTTAGTTGTAAATTGGATATTACCTGGTTCCCGTTTGACGATCAAATTTGTGGATTGAAAGTAAATATTTCATTTTAAAAATTGATATTCTATTGTGAGAAGTAAGTATTCTGATTCTGACTTCTGCATATAATTAACAAAATTAATCAATAACGAATCATTACAATCTATACTACGATTTTCTTTGTTATTTGATTATGGGAAAAACTTTTCGAATAAAATATCTATGATGAAAAAAGTCTAAAATAATTACACCAAACATACGATAAGTTTTTAAATGAGAGTAACTATATGAAATAGTTATGATAATTTCGAGGAGATATCAGATAATAAGTAGATGATAGTATTCGTTTTATTACTAGCGATATAGTTAATTGACAAAAAGAAAAATAGCATTTTAAATCTTGAATTATTAATCGATAAATCAGTTGATACATCTTTAAGCATTAACGTATTATAACAAAGATACATGAAGTTCTTTACAGTTTGGTTCATGGACACATAATGGTTTCTCATTAGACTTGCAAATTGATTCTGATGATAGCAACTCAAGTAATATTTTATTTAATTACTAATATTACCAATGATGAAGTATTTACCGCAGTGATTTTACATTTTACAGTGAGTATTTCTACAGTGAAGTATTTCTACAATGAAGAATCACTGCATTCTATAGTACTATATTCTATCATATAATTTTAGCAAAAATTTTTAGAATTGATTTTTCGCAAATTTCTTTATCACATATGTTATAATTAATTAGTGGGCCAGGAAAACCGTTAGAAACTGCCAGGAAACGATTTAAAATTTAATAATTAATTAAGATCAAATCTTTTTCAGATAATTGTTTTATTTACAGTTTAAATTAAGAGTAAATGAAGTGATATGTAACGAATAAACTAGCACACTTTGTCATCTGTTTTATTCTCTTTTATTTATTTTAATTATTTAAGCTCATCAAATGGATATTAGTGATTATGTGATAAACGGTGAATGGGATTTGATTGCAACACCAGCTGCACGTAATGTTAAACATTTCGTATGCTGTCCAGAACCTTATCCAACAATTACATTCTATATGCATATCCGTCGTAGAACTCTATATTATGGTTTGTTCATTGATTAGGAAGTTTTGCTTATTTCTGCATTTTTTAAATTGTTAGACTGAACACTTATTAATTCAATTTTAAATTTTTAATATATGACAGCTAAAGCATAAAATTTTCAATTTGTTATATATTGTCACTTATATATATATATTCGATTAGAAATCAAATTTGATTAAAATATTTGAAAGAATTCAAAATTTGCTAATACTTTAATTGCTGCAACCCTTCAAACCAAAAATATAATAACAAGAAAAGGTTTAATATAATTTTAAAATTTTCATTTTTAAGGCTTTAATTTGTTAATACCAAGCTTACTAATCACATTGATGATTATCCTTGGTTTCACATTACCGCCAGATGCTGGAGAAAAGATTACATTAGGTTTGATTTCATGTAATATTTTTCTTTAAATATTTTTAAAACATTTTAATATTTCTATTTTTAAAGAATAAAATATTTTAAAAACATTTTAAAATTTTGAATGGAAATTTAGGAATTTCAAAATTTATTAATGCGTTAATTTGAATTCATAAATTATATAATATAAGTTTATTTGATAAATTATTTGCAGAAATTACAATTTTACTATCTATCGTATTCTTTTTGAGTATGGTTACTGAAATGACACCTGCAACTAGCGAAGCTGTACCATTAATAGGTTCATTTTAGATTTTTTACCACTTTTTTCTTCAAATTTTCTGATGAAAACTTAAAGAGATTAAGGGATTGAAAGATTGATTCGTTCAACTCGTCCAGCTGTCATCTGAGATATCATCATCATCATCATCATCATCATCATCATCATCATCATCATCATCATCATCATCATCATCATCATCATCATCATCATCATCATCATCATCATCATCATCATCATCATCATCATCATCATCATCATCATCATCATCATCATCATCATCATCATCATCATCATCATCATCATCATCATCATCATCATCATCATCATCATCATCATCATCATCATCATCATCATCATCATAAATTTTGTTAAATAGTTTATTTACTCATTGTCAAATTAATATTAAATATTATTTAGGAGTATTTTTTTCATGCTGCATGTTGGTTGTATCGGCATCTGTCGTTTTCACTGTCGTTGTACTCAATTTGCATTTTCGAACACCTGAAAGTCACGTTATGACACCACTTGTATTTCTTCCGCTTTTCACTTATTTCTTTTTCGACATATTATAGCATGTAATTTGAAAATTATTTTTCCATCAGAAACAATCAATATCTTCTATTATTCAGTAATTAACTAAAAAAGAAAAAGTGCTACTTCGAGGTTCGACGGATATTATTGGAATGGCTTCCATGGTTATTAATGATGTCACGACCTGGTATTATATATACCTGTGGTGAAGCATTAATGAAATCGGAAACAAGCAGCAGAACGAAAGAAGATGAATATAATCCGTTAGTTGAAGAAATATTATCCGGAGGAAATACTTCTGATGCGCAAATCTTATTGCTTCATCAGCTTTATTTAAAATTGAAACAAGTATTATCTTTTATATCTTAAGAAATTTTGTTGAACAACTTTGAACTGTGACTTTGATATTGACTGGAATCAGCTAAATCAATTAGACTTAACTGTAAATTATTATGCTTATTGCCAGATTTGTTGTTATGAGGAATTTTTTTGGGTCAAATTTTTAGCTTCCATATTTGGACAAAATAGTATGAAAATTTATTAATTTCGTTTTATCATTTTAGATCAGTGATCGAATGATAGAAGAAGAAGAATCAGAACGTTTACGGAATGATTGGAAATTTAGTGCAATGGTTGTTGATCGAGCATGTCTTATTTGTTTCTCATTATTTATTACAGTAATAACATGTTCCATTATATTTAGTGCTTCACATTTAATTGTATGAATTTTGCCAATACTTTCAAATTTCTTTTTTTCTACAAGAAAAGAAAAGTTCCATTCAAATTAATAAAGGAATAATTTTATCAAATTTCATTTTTAATAAATAATTCTTACTGTAAACTATAATTGATGATTACATGTAAAATAATATACTAACGAAATAAACTTCATTTGATATTTAAGTTTTTATTTCTAGAACACTTTATAATAACTAAATAAATTTTCAAGTAGAAATTGACTAAATAATTTCAAAGAATGATGTGAATAAATAATGAAAAAATCAATATGACAATAGATGTTAGTAAATAATAAGTAAATAATGATAATAATAATAATTGTAATACTAATAATAATAATAACAATAATGATAATAATAATGATGGTGATGATGATGATGGTGTAATGATGATGGTAGTGATGATGATGATGATGGGTTGGTGACGATGAGATGATGATGGTGTTGGTGACGATGAGATGATGATAATGATGATGATGGTGTTGGTGACGATGAAATGATGATGATGGTGATGATAATGTTAGTGACGATGATGATGATGATGATGATGACAACTTTTTTGCTAGCCTCATTATTTTTTCAATTCATGCTATAGAGATTATATTCATAATGATTATGAGTAATCTCTGTAGTATAAATTAAAATTATCTTAAAATGTTAAGCTAATCCTTTGTACATTTTCCTTGCTTTCTATCTAAAGAAAGGATGCAATAAAGTATTTTGCACGCCATAATTTGCCAATGTTAAATATCCTTTGATCACAGAGCGCTCCTTCTCTTCATGGTTCTTAGTTATGATTACGTGATGCAATAAGAGATTGCTGATAAATCGTTCAGATATTAATCAGAGATGTTTCTTCACTGTTACTACAAAGATATTAATCAGAGATCTTTCATCACTGTTCCAACATTCCGAAAAAAACGACATATATTGGACATTTCCAAATTCACTGAAATCATTTCTAATAAATTTAAATTTACCAATTCAGCATTCCGGATATCGGTTTTCTGGCAACAATCAGCAACTGTTGATATTGCGCGGCACTTAATCAATTATCGATTATTCAGTACGATAAAAGAGACAAATGTCAGAGAGCATATTCATTTGATGAAAATTTTTAAAAGTATATACGTTGAGTTTTTAAATTGAGCTATCCAAATTTCAAATATTATGACAGTTTTTTAATTGACAAATTGACAAACGACCGACAAGCACACTTTTTAGTTCTTCAAATAATGTAAAAAACGCCTTTCAGCTTGTTAATGATGTTTAAATCTTCGTTTGCTGATCCTTAAGGCAAAGCAAATGTACATTTATTGCTTTTTGAAGAAGCGCAAATGTATCTTTATAACATTTGCGCAAATATGCAAATAATACAGTGCAAAAAGCTAATGTATACTTTTTTAATTAAGACAAATATATAATTTCTGTCTTTTTAGATGGCATGTACAGCAATTTACAAAATGAGCAAATGTACATTTGTTAACTTTTGAAGCGGCGCAAGTATGTATCGGTGATAAATTAATGGTACACATTGTTAATGATATTTGCAGACTTTTCGATTTGCGCAAACTGTACAAATTATTTTTCCTTTTTAAAAACCTTTTGTTGTAACATATCATCAAATATTTAATTTTTACTAAATCTTATTGATTGATTATAATCACTAATTTTCATGCTACTATTTTATCATTATCACTGATAAGATTATAGCTTTAACAACTTAAATAGTGTTTGTCATGTGTCAGTGAATAAGAGATATCGAAGAAAGGCATAGCATAAGACAACTGCGCATTGTAAATATAGCGTAAGACAATTGCGCATTGTAAACATAGTGTAAGACAATTGCGCATTGTAAATTTTCCGAGATATCTTCTTTCATCGTGCGTTTTAGGAATGAAATCTTCCCTTGTAAAAAATAACTATTTGAAGTAACCCGCCCCAAAAAAGATCGGAATAGAAATGTACTTGTAAATCAATCAAATATAGTTTACAATATTTACTGTTTTACGAAATTGAAGTGATTGTATGTTTGCATAGAAAGTAATCGACTCATTGAAGGACAATTTTATTCGAATGCCAACGAAAGCAAATTCATTTAAATTTCATTAAATTTGTTTAAATTTCAAAGTATGAAATTTTATGTCTCATTTAACATCATCAGATGTCTCATTTAACTTTGGTCTCATTTAATATCATTTTGCATTAATTGATCAATTAGATGATCAACGTGATTGATCTTCCTCCGCGGAGGGCGATTCTGTCTTTTTCTAACCAACCAGTTAACATTGTTAGGAATGTGTTGTGTTTCAAAGCATCTTACTTACTTATCTCTCCTAGCTCAAACTATCTTACTTATCTCTCCAAGCTCAAAGCATCTTACTTATCTTTCCTACCTCAAAGCATCTTGCTTATCTCCTACTTATCTCTAATTAATACTATCATCTATTAATATCCTACCGAGAAATTATCACATTTCAATAGTCAAAAAAGCAAATTTCCTTGCAGAAACTTCATTTAAGTTCTAAATTGATATGATAATAAAATACAACTGACCATTGATAGATAAATTTTCACTTCTTTATTCTAAATCCAACAGACAAATTTTACTTTTTTATAATTTATTAAACTATGCAAAATATTTTTAACCAAATAATTAATTACAAATGTACAATCATGCATAATTATCTGCAAGCTGCCTACAACGTGTAATACTTTGCAAGAATAGTTTGTAATAATTGTGAATGATTATTGAATAGAAAAAATTTTCTATTATCAAATTTCCAGATAAAAAAGTAATTGATAATGGTACTGATATTATCAAATTGTTTCATCCTTTATATTATACCATTGTTAATGGAAGAAAATTTAGATTCTTCTTTTTTGTATTGCAAAAGAAAATGGATTGGAATTTAAGAATAAATCAATGAATGGTTTTTAGGGAGAAATTGGGAATTTCCAAGTTTCGTTTTCTTATACAATTTATAAATAGCCAATAAAAGAATTTTTAGAATAATCAATTTGTGGAAAAGAAAATTATGTTAGTATGAATTACTTAAAAATGAATGAATTAAATTAGTTCTAAATTTACGCTCGAAAATGAAAACCAATTTCACTGATAAATATGAAATTAGTAACATTGATAGGAATTATTATTGATTAATTTCAAAACAGCTCCAACTGATACTAAGACTACTCTCTCTTTTGCTAAGAAGTCTCAGTATCAGTAGAACTATTTCGAAATCAATCAATAATAATTCCTATCAATTTTACTAATCAATTTTACATCAAATTTGAATTATTCATTTTCATCTTCACGTTTGATATTATTTTTATTAGCAGAAATTGTTATCATATTCCTTCAACAATCTTATCAAAATGGATTGGATCAAGATCACGAAATCTCAAACTATAATTGTATTGTCATCAGAAAAAGATGGAATGATTCAGGAAAAGATAAAATAATCCGGATGGATGAAAATTTTCCATATTTTAATGTATTTTCAGGAAAGTTGTACGATCATTTTATAAATGAATGATTCAAATGATAAACTAATAATAATAAAATCCATTTTAGTAAAATTAGCAATGAAATCATATATGTTAGCATTTATATGAAATAGCTTTCGTTTGTTGACGTTATTTGTCAAAGATTTCAAATTCAAAAATAATTTTTAATTTTGTAAGCATTGAATAAACTGATGAAATTAGCATTCGTTTGACAAAAACAAAAAACTTTTATTTATATTTCAACGATGTAATTTCTAATCGAATATCTTTTTGGTAAAGAAATTTTATGGAATTATTTAAATCAAATTTTATTGCTTTTGTTTTTCTTCGCTGATTTCATTGTTATTTTGTTTTCCATTAATTGTTTGTTTATTTTAAAAATTTTAGAATTATCAAAATGATATGAATGATAATTTGACGTTTCCATATATTATTGTATTTTTTGTATAGTATTAGTATTTTAAAATTTCATGTGATACTTATGACTAATAATCAATGCTATTATCATATCACATCTTGACAGTTCTGTTATTATTGATTTTATAACTGATGAATTAAAGTAGACAACTAATATTAAAACAGAGCTTATGACTAATGATAAATGATTATTTGTTAAATGATAAGTGTTAAATGATAATTGTGATAGGTATAATATTCAGATACTTACAAAATTATTCTTTTATATTATCACAATTTCACATTACTATTTACAAAAACAATATTAATATAGCAATGATGAAATAAATAGTTATAATATAACTCTTTAAATAATTTAACTTATTGAAGCTTATAACATAACGGGAATTTATATTGGTACCGGCACTTATTAAAACTTGCAACATAACAGGAATTTATGTTCGTGCTGATAATAATTCTGAGATATGCCGAATTTTAGGATACTTTTGAATTTGCCTAAAATTAAAAGAGGTATAAAAAAGAATTTAGGAGATATAATTTATAATCGGAAAAAGTAAGAAATTCCCTGAATAGTCGTGAAGATTTGTAATAAAACCTTGTAAGCATAATCGCTATGCAATCCCATGGGTAGAAGAATTTTATGCTTACTCAAAACTTTTCATATTTCATCCTTTTTTTCTTTATCATCTAATTTTTCCACTTTTTTTTCTCACTCTCGTGCATAATATTTCTCCTCTTTTATCTAACATAATATTTTAAACTTTATCGATATTATATGTAAACTAAATTTTCTTCCTTCTTTCTTTTTTGTCATAATAAACTTAAAATTAACTTAAACTTAGAAGAAATTTTAATTTCTTTTGTTTTTCTCATTTCATTTCTATTGTTTTTTTTTCTAATTCATTTACTATATAATATTCTTTTGCTATTTTAAATATTAATTGAAATAATTCAGTTTAATTCTTTTTAATCAGAACTTAAAAATTCAAAAAGAATAAATTCTTTATTTTCGAACATTTCTTTTTTGTTTTATTTTCTAAATGTTAACGAAGAAAAAAGAA